CTCAACTTTAATCACAAGTGTACACCGTGTCCACTGGTGGTGCCGATCGAAGCGTGTCTCACGGCGACACTGCCGACACTGGCAGACAATGTGCGCCGATACAAGGCCTTCTCGCGCGACGTCGTGACGATCGACTCGTTCCTTGACGAGGTTCTCGTGCTGGGTTCGCTCGCGAAACCGCGACGGTTGACGGCGCGGGGGTCGGACGGAAAGAACTACATGCTGCTCATCAAGCCCAAGGACGACCTGCGGACGGACCAGAGGCTGATGGAATTCAACGCCATGATCAACCGGTCGCTGAAGCGCGATGCCGAATCGAGCCGGCGGCAGCTGTACATCAGGACGTACGCGGTGACGCCGCTCAACGAGGAGTGCGGCATCATTGAGTGGGTGGACGGACTGAAGACGCTGCGCGACATTTTGCTGGAGCAGTACAAGATGCGCGGGACGCACCCCGACTACAACGCCATCAAGCGCATGATGAAGGATGCGGTGACGGGCACGAGCAACATTCACCTGTTCACGGAGGGGGTGCTCGGGACATTCCCGCCGGTGCTTCACCACTGGTTCATCGAGCAGTTCCCGCACCCGGCCGTGTGGTTCGCGGCACGGCTCAAGTACACGCGGTCGTGTGCCGTCATGTCCATGGTGGGGACGATTCTGGGCCTCGGCGACAGACACGGCGAGAACGTGCTGTTGGAGAAGGATAACGGCGGCATATTCCACGTCGACTTCAACTGCCTCTTCGACAAGGGGCGGACATTTGGCGAGCCGGAACGGGTGCCGTTCCGGCTGACGCACAACATGGTGACGGCCATGGGGATGCACGGGTACGAGGGCCCGTTCCGCGCGTGCAGCGAGCTGTCGCTGGGCATCCTGCGGCAGCAGGAGGAGACGCTCATGACGATCCTCGAGGCTTTTATCTACGATCCGACGCTGGACCTGCAAAAGGTCAAGAAGTCGAGCCGCGCGGTGGTGGCGCCGGGGGAGGTCAGACTGGAACCGCCGTACGTGGTGGACAGCATCAAGCGCAAGGTACGGGGGTTGCTCCCGAATGAGAGCATCCCGCTGGGTGTCGAGGGATACGTCGAGGAGCTCATCAGCCAGGCGGTCGATCCCAGAAACCTATCGGCCATGTACATTGGATGGTGTCCTTTCCTATAGAGGGGTGGTCTTTTTCTATAGAGGGGTGGTACTGATAGGCGCATGGTCATGGTTCTGTTGGTCAGAGTTGGGAATATATCGAGTATGATGTTTCTGATGGTTATTATATCAAGCTTCTAGACTGCCAGCCGAGTCACAGGCTTCGTCGTGTGCCCAAGCATGGAGGGTAAGGTAGGTACCTCCCTACCTTAGGCCTTAGGTAGGTGGGAGGCTGAGGACAGCGCCAGCCCCTGTAAGTCTCGCCGTAATATCAACCCCTGAGGCGCTGGGGCCTTGTTCTTTAGGGCTGTCTCCCAGGGCAAGTACGGCGGACCACCCGCTGGCACCTGCCGTTCCTCTACCCAACAATGTAATGTCACATCATCATGCCAGGCAGGCGCGGCCCAGGGTAGCAGCGCCGCCTTCTTATCACTCGGCAGCTTTTTGCCAGCCTCGGGCCACGACCACTTTCCCTCCTTCGTTTGCGTCTCATTCACTTCAACCCCTCGCAAGCCAGAAGTTTTCCTCTGCTTCGTGACCTTTCTCAAGCACACGTCGCCCGTCTTCTGCTGCCATCAGAGCTATTGCGCCCCAGACAACCGTCACGATCCTTGGTCGCCAGGCAGCTTCTCCAAGAACCCGCATCGTAGCCCCAACGACTCCAGGCTTGTGACCCTCTGCGACAGACAATCATCGTTCTGTCATTCACGGCCAGCGACACTTCCGACAGTATCGGCTGTTTTCCTGCGCACCCTTTATTTCCACAGCGCGAAGCACAGAGAAGCAGTCAACATGTCGTCCTATCGAATCGGTCAGTTCCCTTCCATGCTGCTTGCGCTTGCACCCAGGCGTCTCAACGTCACGCGTCACGCATGACGCGCCGAGATCTATCAAGCTCATTCCCCAGCCGACCACAAAACTGCACAAAACTGACATGCGTTCCTCCCCTCCCAGAGGTCTCCGCCAACAACCGAGCCGGCTGCCAGGATAGCGTCTGCAAGGCCACCGCGACCAAGTGCCTCAAGGGCCAGTTGCGCTTCGGCACGTGGACCGAGATTCAGGAACACGGCAGCTTCCGCTGGAAGCACTGGGGATGCGTCTCCGGCAAGCAGATTGAGGGCCTGCGCGAGACATGCTCGCGTGGCGGCGACGCATTCGACTTTGATGCCATCGACGGCTATGATGAGATGGCCGATTATCCCGACCTGCAGGCCAAGATTCGCGAGGCGGTTGAGCAGGGTCACATTGCGCCCGAGGATTTCAATGGCGTATGTTGTCTTTCTATTCCTTGCGCCTCGTCTCCAAAAGGTGGCATGGCGCAAGTCACGGTTCGACATCAACGATGATGCTAATCTCACCTAGGACCCCGAGTACAACAAGCTCGGCCAACGCGCCATCCGCGGTCGTGCAGCCGTGACCAAGGCCAAGGCTGGAGAGAATGACGATGCGGCAAAGGACGAAGAGGCCGAAAAAGCACCTGCCAAGGGTAAGAAACGTGGCCGCAAGGCCGCTGACGAGGAGGGCGAGCCTGAAGCTGCAGAGGACACCAAGTCGAAGAAGCGCACCAAGACTGCCGCCGCCGCTTCGATCAAGGACGAGGAGGAGGAAAAGCCCAAGCCCAAGCCCAAGCCCAAGGGCAAGACTGCCAAGACTGCTGTCAAGGCGGAGGAGTCTGACGACGAGAAGCCGAAACCAAAGGCAAGGGGCAAGGCTGCCAAGGCCGCTGTCAAGAAGGCGGACTCAGAAGACGAGACCAATGACGTTCCCGTCACAAAAACCAAGGCCAAGCGCGGCAAGGCTGCCGCTGCTGTCAAGGCCGAGGACGAGGAAGAGCCCAAACCGAAGCGGGGGGCCAAGCGTACTGCGGCTAAAAAGACTGTTGTCGAAGAGTCGGAGTCTGAGGACGAGGACGAGGAGGAGCCTGTTCCCAAGCCCAAGGCCAAGAAGGCTGCCGCTGCCAAGGGTAGAAAGAAGGCAGAGGCTGCTAAGGAGGAGGACAGCAACGATGCGCCTGCCGCAGCACCCAAGCGAAGGAGCCGCAGGAGTGCAGGTGGAGCTTGATGTTGTGCCTCTTGGATGGTAGCGAGCCATCAGTAGACTACTTTGTTCTGGGGTTGTGTCATTCAAGTCTGACCAGCGGCGGTCTTTGAAAATGAACGTTTTGCGTCAGTTCGAGCTCAAGGCAGCGGCAAGTGTTGCTGCAAGCGTTACTGGAATAGGGTACGGGTCAGCACAGGGCCACGCTTTGGCCATGCTCGTTGTATTATATAGGAACGGTTGACGACAACGCTTTTCCATGTATGGTGAGAGCAAGTAATAATTCACCTCAGACCTTTGGTATCTGCCTGTCTACATAGTCGTGAACGTCGTGGTCAAATCGTAGACTTCATTCGTAACTGCCTCTCCTCTATGCGGCCCCAATCGTTGTCCACTTGGCCAGCAACTCGTTTACGATTTTCGAGTCATTCTCACTGCCGTCAAATTCCTCGTCCTCCATCTGGGGGACATCAATGTCGACCTCGTCCTCTTCCTCGCCGAAACCTCCAAAGGACGCCTCGACGACATGGGTGTAGGATTGCTCTCCACTCCTCGTCGACGGGTGATGAAAAATGACCTCGCTGTAGGTGATGTGCTGGGGAGGAGGCATAGCATCGCTTGCGTATGGGCTACCGTCCACAGGCGAATAGCTCGGAGAGACCGTAGAGTAGCCCGGCGACGCCAATTCATACGGCACCGCCGGCGAGTAGGGCGTGAACGGCCGCGTGCGGTCGTCGAGCGGCGGCCTGAACGGCGGAAGCGCCGCGCCGAGACGCGGACTCGGTCTCGCGGCGGCGCGGTCGCCTTCTTTTTGTCTCCTCGTCAGTGGGGGCTTCTCCTCGGGAGAAGGGGTCTTGCGGTGAGTCTTACTTCGTTCCAGCTCCGGCTCCGGATCCGGGGGGCTCGGTCCCGCCACCTCGATGAGCCGCTCGTGCAAGCGCTTCACGGCCTCGGACGTGTCAAAGGAAGAGGCGACACCCCCGGACGCCGCCGCCAGTCGCGCCGCCTCGCCCTGCTCCAGTCGACGCAGGTGGCCCGCCAGTTCCGCGTACTGCGCCGTCGGGATCGCGCGTCTTGGCTCGCCGCTACGAGTTGTTCGAAGAAGGCTTGCGGCCGAAGGAAGAAGCTCGCCCCGCCAATTTCGACGGCCCTTGCCTCGTCGAGGGGGAGCGATCCTGTGGCCGAAGCGCGCCGAAAGTGCCCCCCGTCCTGGT